ACCACATTTTCATAAAAAATTGTTATATCCATTTATTTTTCAATAAAAAGATATATTTCTTAATAATGGAAGAACATGTTTTCTCGCGCAATTTTCAGTCTCGTGAAATGAAGATAAATGGTAACTGTCGTTGATTCATTACCGAAATCATTGCTATCGGGAGCAGTCCGGAAGATCCGGAATTCGTTCCCTCCTGCAGCGGCTTTAACGTTCAACGGATTTCTTAACTTTTCTTTGCGGATCGATCTTGCAGAAACTGATGTAGAAACAAGACGTTGGTCGTTCTCCGCCTTTAGGATCGTTTTTCTCCTTGTCGAATATTAACCAGCGTGTCACCCGGCGGAGGGAGGGCCTTGTTAAAATTGTTGGGTCTGTTATTCTCTATAAAACGTGGCAATACCGTGATTTTTTATAACGATATTTAAAGGCTTATAAGACCCATTTTATTCTATTAAAACAGTCATCCACGAAATAGAATATATATCTTATTGTTGATCGCGACGTTCGTATAAAATCGCGTATTGGAAAATAAATCGCGCGGTGGATGCTATATAATAAATCTCGAATGTCTGTCGAAATATCTTTGCATAAAATGATAGTGATTATATCGCGCACGTGTACGTGTATGTGGGTTTCGATTATTATAGAAATTACGCGTATCGCAATCGAATATTACGAATATCGTCCGTTTATTTATTTGTCGCGTTTGCACGGGAATTTTAAATCGCGATTTGTTTTATAATTTAATCGTTGACATCAAAACTTTGTCTATTTTTTTGCATTTTGAATTTTTTTTTTTTTTGAAATTCTGCGCAAAATGCACCAATAGTGCACACTTTCTTCTACTTTCTTCTACAATTAAAGACGATTAATAACTTTATTAATGACTCTTCTGATCGCGATTCTTTACATTATATAAAAGTTAGTAAGCTTTATAATTGTATGTCGACTATTAATAATAAATATCGCGTAATTAATCGTCGTTAAAAAGTCTTGTCTAGTTTAACAATTTCTAGTACATTTTTTATTATACGTATATTTCGGACATTTTCGTGTAATTCCATGTAATAAATTATTTTGTATTAAATTTTGTATTAAAAATAAAATAATACCTAACCCCTGAGAAATGGAAAAGAGGAAAAAGCCTATCCTCACATATTTTTCCTCCTCGATGGTATCTCCACCTTAACGAAGGCATTTGCCGGGTGAGGAGGTTTGCGTACTCTAATGAACCTGAGAGCTATGCCGGCGGTAACGTATAGCGTTTTCGAATGCTCAAGTTTGATCGCTCTGAAACCGATTAATAAATAAAACTTAAACTCAGTCTTGGATTTTGGGAATATTTAGATTATTAGATTAATCAATGAATACTTCGAGTAAGCGTTTGATTGATTAATCAGAGCAAAGAATCTTGTACTTTAAAGACAAAATAGCGTTAAAAACGGAGAATGTACTTCATATTATTTATATTAATCAGATTCTTTCAAAACCTATTTTTAATCAAATATATATATTTCATCGTAAATTGGGTTTAATTGCTCTCAAAGCGATTGAACTTGCTTCATTCAAAAACGCTAATAAGTTACCGGTAGGGTCACCCATGCCGGACAGGTCGAAGGGGAAGAGTCAGACTAAGAGAGATACTGTAGTTATATACGGTTTTATGTGCAATTATAGCGGTGCCTGTCCATCGCATACACAATTGACATTGTGAATATTCTAATAAAAATGGATGTTATATAGTATCCCGTCTGTGTTACAGTCGATGCAGTATATGTAAATCATATAAGTATGCAATCATTATAGCGTATATATTTATTTTTTAAAAAAGGTAAAGAAAGGCGCCAAGTACACACACCATAAACTAAATCTAAAATAAATCTAAATTTTGTAATTGCATAGCGTTTTACATGTTTTCAAATGGCTGTTTGAGGATTCAATATTGAAGTATATAAAAATACGGAAGTATATAAAGATACAGAAAACTGGGATAATTTTCGGATCCACATTTGAACTTTCTAGATATAGGAGACAATATTTTTTTAAATCTGTAGTAACGGTAGGTTTTTTCGTACAAACGTGTTAGATACATATCGAGAAAGGTATTTTAAGTATTGATTTTTCTCAATATTCTCTTAGAATGCATACAAAGGATCATAAAATACTTCGGGATGACAATTAGGCTTATTTACTTTCAAAGAACGTGCGCCGACATCCCCTATTGAGAGACAGGAATCGTTATAGGCTTATTGAGAAAGCTTCGTCGAGTGTATAAATAATGCGGTCGAGGCATGACATAGCCATATTATCCGTAGGTCACGGAATATTTCATGCTTTTAGTTTCCGATGATTATCCGCAACTCGCGAATTGTTCCGTTCTGAGTAATTATCTTAGTCGTTAGCAAATCGTTTTACAAAATGTTAAGGAAAGACAATGCAAAGAATCAGTCAATATGCAGATCGCGTGCGTCTCTCTTCTGGCCAAACGACACGAATAATCGGGCAAGGACAATAACAATGGATTGATAGCATGCGAACCATTATAATAGCCTTTCCGTTAGCGATCGGAGATATATATAGTAATAGTGATGGTAGTGATGGTAAAGAATAAGAATAGTCATCCAGTTATTCTGCTTACCGTCCTTTTCTTACGCTTCTCTATTGATCATTTCTTAATATGCATTGTGGGTAGGGAGACAGGGCAAAAAGTACGGACGAAAAAGTTTTGCCTGCCAAGTTACGAGAATTTTAAGACGCTAGGCTGCGACGTGATTGGAACAATACGTGTATTTTGTAATCTCCAATTTTATGGTCATCAAGTTGATCCCACTTAAATAGAAAATAATTATTATTATCACAAATTGAATATATTTTTTGTGATTTTCAATTATTATTATTATAAGTGATAATAATCAATTATTATTATTATAAGTGATAATTACAAAATTGTAAGTATATTTTGCGCTGGTCATTTTTTTAGTGAAATGTAAATAATTAAAATTGCGTTTTTAATTTTTTTTTTAATCTTTTAAATTAGATTTTAAAGTTTAAAATTTTTTTCTAAGCTATTGTGTTGTCAATATTCCATCACATCAGCTTTATCGATTGCAATCTCCAGTTTTTAGTTTTTATTATATATATATTGTTCTTTATTTTCATTCTCTTTTTCTCTGAAAATGTTGAGAAAACATCATTATTTATAGTGCATCTTGTATTTATCACTTATTATTATCGTTCTTTATTTTCATTCTCTTTCTCTCTGAAAATGTTGAGAAAGCATCATGTATAATGCACTTTATATTATCACTTATTATCATAATAGATACTTTCAGATTCTTGTTTGATATATTTGTCGATTGAATAGTTTTTGAACTTTATCGCTCGAACGGACATCGCAGGAGTATCGAGACGATATGGTACATCATTCGAAAAAACAATCAGCAACACGAATAAAGCGAACCTCCCTTATTATACAAAACACACTATTAGTAAACGAAGCGACTGTTCATGTAAAAAATGGGAATTACAATAAAGCCATATTTCTGTACAATCAAGTAAGTTTCGCAAAAAAATATATATTTATAAACGGTCTAATTAATTCTCTTTACTGATTTTTAACCAACTATAATAAAATATTGGAACAAAAATAAGTTTGTTATAAAAAATAAATATAAAATAAAATAAAAGCTAATTATTAAAAAAAATTAATGTATTATATAAAAATTTATGTTTATCTTATTTGAATAATATAACAGTATATATATGTGCGTTTGGATATATAAGATATGTAGTGTGTGTATTTAAAAGGTTTTTGAAGAATGCCTGGTGAGATTAAAGATATTGCTTAAATATTATAATATAGCACAATGTGTGTGCGTGCGCGCGCGTGTGTTAGAAGAAAAATGGTGATTATATTAAATTTCGGCCATGCAAAAGAAAAAGAAAGAGAGAAAGAAATGCAAAATTATAATACATATCGTAAGCAAAAAAAGTGTAAAATTATATATGTTATATATTTCCATTATTTGTTGTATAATTTTATACTTAATAATGATACATTATAATAATTTAATACTTTCACACATTTAATACATTTTTTACAATGTAATATGTAGTACATTAAAATTGGAAAACAAAACAATAGGAGTGAGGTATAAAAAATCCTTTAAATTAACATGTATCACCAACAAGATATACAATCTCGATTTCTTTAATAAAATTAATTTTGTTATTATAATAAATAATAACAGTAGTTATATATATATATTTCATGATGTGATACATGCAGCTAGATATTATCTTACGACAATAAATACATATGATAAATCTGCATATATCAGAACAAAATTACGTAATTTATCAATTTTTAAGTTAGTTTAACATTTAAGTTTATATCAGGTTGAACGGAAAGTTCATTCCGTTTTTTGCTAACAGATGAAAACCGAAAAAACCGTACGAATTTTCCGTTTAACCAATATAATGTGTGATAAGAAATGTGCAACGTTGTCATCTAATAAATTTTTTCCATTTAAAAAAAGGGAGAGCAATATTTATCTTAAAACACTTAAAAACTTGCATAAATTTTTTATATATTCTTGCACAAAATTTTATCGCAAATAAAAAATATTTATATAACGTAAAAAAATGCGACTGAGATTTAAAAAAAAGATATCTTACAATTATATTATCTATTTTCATCTTTAAGAATATGAAATATCAAAGAGCACTTTATACACATATTTTTTCATATTTCGTAATAGCCAAATATAAAATTTGTTCTTTGTAACTGAATTTCTTGCATTAGTATACACTAAAAATAAGATATGTATATATATATATATATATATATATATATATATATATATATATATATGCAATGGATGCGTTCAAGGAGACGCTATTATGCCGAACACACTCTAAGTTCAGCTACAAAGACAAACCTATATATTTATCGTATTTGTGACTTATCGGTGTTGTTACCCGTTTCTAAGGAAACGAGCTTCCTATTTCGAGGTGTCAGCAACCACACGTATTTTGACACGTAGATAAATAGCTATTGTTCCTATACACAAAGTGCCTCTCTTTGTTTTCCTCAGCTACGTGAAAAGAAACATACAAAAGGAGAAATAATAAGTATATCTCTAAATTAGGCTCATTGCAATATAATATTCTAATATAATTGAATAAAAAATCAACGAGCTTTTAAAATGAACGACGATGTATCGCGAGGTGTCACCAAGGATGTAGCGAGCACAGTTGAACATCACGTCATGGACATCCTGAATCCCACATTGCATCATCACGATTTATTACAAAGTTACGTGCGGACACCCGTGGAAATTGGTTCCGATTCGAAACAGGATGTCGAAGAATTCGAGGAATCGACCAAGGAAGCGCGTTCGAGCAAATATCCGACGAAGACGAATGGCAACGACAATTTTCGCTATGACGGTAGAAAAAAAAAGAATAATAACCGAATGGAAAAGGAGAGGTCCAATATCATCACCACCGCCGTTGAATCAGAGATGAGAATTCAGAAGTCGAAAAAAAAGTGACGCCAATATGATGGCGATAATCATCGGCAGGAAGAAGTATACACCGATAAAGATCGCGCCGCAGCCGTAAACATGGGTAGCACGGATATAAAGCAGTCTCTGAAGATGAAGCAACGTCAAGATCGCAGCAGAGATTTACAAATCCCGGAGGAGACCGAGCCCGGAGCGTTGCTGACACTTGGTCTGCGCGAAATGCGCTTCGGTGATTTCAATATCGCTATCAACTTCATTAATAAGGTTCATTAGCTCGCTTCGTTATCCAATCATGTCAATTAATTGAAGTGCGTAATCAGAACAAGATTAATATACATATGTCTTTAATTTACATCATATTTAATCGCGCGCACTGCGTGTGAATAAACATATAATCTTTTATATAATCAGATATAGTTAAATCGATTATAATAATTTATACATCATGAAATGAAATTAATTTAACAAATAATAAATATAACTTTATAAATATTAATAATGATTTGATATAATAATAAATAATAATCATTTTTTTGTACTTAATGTTCTCTCTCTCTTTTTCTCAATAACAATTTCATCAATATTATAATAATAATTCTAATAAGGACATTAGAATAATGCAAGAATTTATTTTGACAGGCATTGGAATTGAATCCCAATGATAAGAACGCTTTAATAGCGCGAAGCAAATGTCATCTTTTATTGGGTGATCCACGAAAAGCGCTGGACGATGCTGAGGCAGCTTTACGATTAAATCCTAAAGATTCTAGCAACGCCAAAGCTGTATACTGCAAAGCAGAGGCTCTCTATCATTTAGGCGATTTCGAAATGAGTTTGATGTATTATTATCGCGGAATGAAGATTCGTCCAGAATTCGGCCAATTTCGTCTAGGTGTTCAAAAAGCAAGAGACGCGATACAGAACATATTACGTAAGAATTGATAGGCATTCTTATTAACGATCGTTGATAAGAATTAAAAAATTAAAATTAAAAATTAAAAATTAAAAAGATATCTTGAGATATCTTATAGAAATATGTTTTTAGATTTCGAAAATGTTGATAAATTTATTTTTTGTACAAAAAAAAAACATGACGGACATATTAATTGCCTCTCGCTTAAAAGAATTTTTCAAGTTTTTAAATACAAATTTTTTATTCGATAGCTGCTTATAATAAACTTATACATTACAATAGACTCGTCAGGCAATAAAATGTATAATAACAAACAGCTTTATTAGTGTACAATGATAGTTTCAATTAAATGGTTATTTCGTTTAAGCTTTCGATATATTGAAAATCAGACTGACGTTACGCGATTGATCCAGAAATGTGTATAATATTTAAAATAATATTTAAAACGGTTTGCATTTAAAGCGGTTAATATTTAAAGCATTTTCTAGGTTACAAAAACGTTCTTTTTAATCTATTTTTCGAAGGCTGCTTTAATTTTATGCTCCAATAGTAAAGCCAAAGCAATTTTTATTAATAATTCTCGTGATTGTTCAGTTTTGACAATTGTCTTTGCCAATACATTTTTTTCTTAATTTTTTATATAAATTTATTCTGTAAAAGCACAAAGTTAATTTGGTAGTGCATTGCTTTTTCTCACGCGTAATGCGTTGACACTTTTTATATGTAGACTATTAGAAAGAAAAAAATATCTGCAGTAAAAAAATTAAAACGTGTCTATATATTTATAAAAAGGCAAGCTTTTCTTTCTAAAAATTGAAAATTTTATTCTTACATTATCAAAGTAAAATAATTTTAATGTCAACATGTATTAATAATATAAATTGGTAAAATATATATTATATAATAATCAAACTTTTTTTTCGATCCGTAAATTAATAAATAGTTGTAAATTGTAATCAATTGTTATAAAGATTATTTTTATTGTATAAATGTAAATAGTACATTTAGATTGTTTTATATAGGCGTATATGCAATATAATTGAAATATTATTTTATACCTAATTTTTAATATTTTTTTAGTTTTTATATAATGATTCAGAAAGAATAAATAGCATGCAGATTATATTTCTGATTTCAAATTTGTCGTGTTATGTTTTTATGTTTGTGATCTCGTATTTATTATTATAAACAATAATAAAACATGTTGATTATTACGTACGATAGGATGAAAAGATGTTGAGGAAAAACATGCAGACCGTGAAATTTAACGATGACTTGAAGCGGATATTTTGCATAATTTATTTATTTAATTAATGGATTAAGTAAAAATCGTAGTGACAGGAATCCAAAATAATAAATTTTGTTGCAAACTCTCTCTCTCTCTCCTTTTCTCTCTCTTCCTCATTCATTCTCTCTCTTTCTTTCTCTCTTTATGAGCACTAATTATTTCTTTTACAATACTTAAAGGCAAAAATATTTCTGATGTTTTCGACTTTTTGACGATCTAAATATGATTCGAATTGAATGCACGCAGTAAAAAAATCGAATCGCAGAATCGAGTAATATTAGCATAACGAAGGCTTCGTGATACATCAATCGTTTAATAAATAGCTAATCTGTAATTTAACATACTCTTGTATGATTTAATATTCCACATATATATAACATATATAACATTTTTTGTATGCTAAAACCAATATCGTGAAAAATATCCCGATTTTTTATGACATTTTGTGAAAATATAACAGTATATCACGGAGCGCGAATACGATGCAGTATATGCATGCGCGCGAATTATAGGAATATTTTATACGAAACATGCAACAGCTTTCATGTTGTTCCTTTCTTTTCATTGTGTGATTAACAGCTATAATCAAATAAAATATTTAAAAAATTTCTATTTCTTTTTAAATAATTTTTATTATATAAATAATAATATTTTAATATTGATTTATAATTAAACAAAACTATGTCATCTCTGATAATGAGAATATGCAGAAAGATTTCATTCGTATGTTTAAAAGTAATATACTAATGTTTAAAAGTAATATACACTATATATTAAATAGTGTTTAAGTTCAAGCTATTTGCAAGACACGTAATTGCTAGATACGTAAAATATTAATTAAAAATGAATGATATATTTATTTTAAATAAAAAAACATTTTGTATTTAATCCAAGAAAAGTTTGAAATTTATTTAATAATTTCAATGCACACTGAGAAAACCATCATAAAATCCAATATATTTAAAAAATTTTTATTAAACATTTTTTATGTGTCACAAATTAAACTATTATGTTTTACCGTTATCTAGAAAATAGAACGCTTTCAAGTTTAAATATAAATGGCATTTGAATACTTGAAGTCTTTCTCTGGATTTACAAAGCTGTTTAGATCTCTTATCTCTTGTTACTATTCTCATAATTATCATTTCACAATTGAATATAATTTTATAATCAATTGAAATAAGTCTCTATTTCATAATATAAATCTTCCCTTATCTCAATTATATTCGTTATGCTATACAATAAAATATGAATATTGTATTCATCCTAATTCGTAGTTTTTTTTTAACAAAATTTAATTAATTTAATTTTTTAATTATTCTTTTGCAAAAAAAAACAGCAAATAATCTCAATGTGCAGTGAACGTTACTTTTTTAGTTATGAACATTATTTTAAATATAATAGATAATCAAGATTTTCCTTAATTATGTCTGTTATTTAGATTAAACTATAAATGAGAATTAAATTGTGCCACTTCACTTCAAATATGAAATATATCGATAGAAGCAATAAAATATAGAAGATTTCATTTCTATGCTAATAATTATCTTTAATACATTTTATCTTTAATACATATAAATATAGCAAAATATAATCAATATATATCTTAGTTGCAATCACGTATAATCTCACATTTAATCCTTATTTCAAATTCAATTACAACGCACAACAGTCTGTTCTCTCTGCGAAGCAGTAGATCGAGATGTTAGAAGATCAGTCCTCAATCGGCGAAATAATAGAACATGTGGTTCTAAGAAAGAAAAAAATTTAATCTGTATATTTATAAACAATAATTATAATTGTAATTCATATATATTTTTATTTGTCAAGTCGTACCTGGTCCATGCATCATATAATGCACCCATCCAGGACTCTGTTGGACCCCTAAATTCCTCCATTCCGTTTCTGTCATAAGATGAGTCTTCGGAACGTGTCTGGCAAGATCAATCGGCAATATTACATGCCTATAAATAATTTAAAATTTAAATTAAATAATCTCTAGTTCAATTTTGTTAGATTTAATGAAATTAAAGCTTTTAATTATAGTATCCCTGAATCTTTAAATTAATTAAGAAAT